TATCAAATATAATAAGAAAAGCACAAACAAACAAAAAAAAGACAGAATAAATAAATGGGACCTCACAAAAAGTAAAAACTTTTTGTTCATCAAAAGACTTCACCAAAAAACTGAAAAGACAAGCTATCAACTGGGAGACTATCTTCAAAAACCTGTCCAACAAGAATCTAATAACCAATATATATATAATTTCAACTTTACAAAAAGACAAAGCACCTAATCATAAAAAGGACAAAGGATTCAACAGACACTTCACCAAAGAGGATATTGATATGACCACCAAGTACATGAAAAGATGCTCAGCACTCAGAGATATGCAAATTAACACCACAATCACAAAGAAATACTATTTCACTCCTCCTACAAAAACATAGGTTCCATGATGGCAAGGACATTGTTTACTTTGCATACCTGTGTATCTCCAGTACCCCAAACAGTGCCTGATACATGGTAAGTGCTTCAGAAGTAAATGCTGAATAAATAAATTCCAAGGACTGGCCAGGAGGAAAAACTGAGTGAAGATAGGAAGAACAAATGCTATGTGATCAGGGTTCTATAAGAGATGAGATCCAATGTATTGCCCTGCATCAATCACCTCCTTCATCTTCCTCTTTCCCAGGGATGGATGCATCATCTTGAACATTCCAGATTTCACCTAAGAGGATTCAAGACCCTTGAAAACAGGATCTGGGTCTTATTCCTTGAAATGGGGGCTTAATCTCAAGAAGTATCCAAAAAAAGTTTGCATAACTAAGTTGGAAAAAAATGCAGCTGTCTGCCTTGAAAGTGCCAATGCTCACCAGCAGCAGTCTTGGGATTATTTAATGGCCTCTCCACCATAACAATGACTCTCTCTACCATGTTTCCTTATCTCCCACACATTCCAGCAGTGCTAATTTTCTATTCCTCAAAGCAAGGTAAGAATGGATTGTGATGTCAGCACTAAAGTTCAAAAATTTCCAAGACATAAATGGAGAGAAAAGTTAATAGACTATAAGGTAACCCCAAAGAAAGTTAATACTTCACAACTTGCCATGAAAATGAACTTCCAAGCAGAACAAGCAAACATGAAAACTAAGAAAGAAAAAAAAAAAAAACAAGAAATAGCACAAAACCCACAAACTCAGCACAAGAAAGCATGCAGAACAAAGGAATGAACAGCACTACCAAAAAATTAACATAATGGCAGCAATTAATTCATACCTATCAATAATTACATTGAATGTCAATGGATTCAATGCACCAGTGAAGAGACAGAGAGTGGCAGAATGGATAAGAAAACAAGACCCTTCAATATACTGCCTGAAAGAGACACATCTTCCACACAAAAGACAAAAACAGACTAAAAGTTAAAGGATGGAAAAAATATATACCAAACTAACTGCAACAATAAACAAGCAGGAGTGGCAATACTAACCTCTGAAAAAGTAAACTTTAAGACAAAAACCAGCAGAAGAGATAAAGAAGGACACTATCTCATGATTAAAGGGTCAATTAAGCAAGACAACATAGTGAAAAAGCACCAAAATATATGAATCAAACCTTACTAGAATTGAAGAAAGAAATAGATAAATCTACAATTATAGTAGGAAATTTTAACACACCACTTTCAAAAAGGGACAGAACAATCAGAAAGAATCTCGACAAAGTTACAAAGGACCTAACCAACATGACCTAATAAATGTGTACAGAGCATTCAACCCAAGAACAGCACAATATACATTCTTCTCCAATGCACATGGAACATTATCCAGAATTAACCATGTGTTAGGTCACAAAGCAAGCCTCCATAAATTTACAAATATCAAAATACTGCAAAGGATGTTTTCAGACCACAATACTATAAAACTAGAAATCAACAATAAGAAGACCAAAGAAATAAAGCCAAATACATGGAAACTGAATAACACCCTGCTGAAAAGTGACTGGGTAAAAGAAGAAATTAAACATGAATTCATAAAGTTCCTAGAAACAAGCAAGAATGAAAACACAACATACCAAAATATTTGGGACACAGTGAAAGCAGTGCTGAGGGACAATTTATTGCAATAAACGCACACATCCCAAAAGAAGAAAGAACCAAAATTACACATTAACACAGCATCTACAACAATTGGAAACAGACCAACAGAGGGAACTTACAGTCACCAAAAGAAAAGAAATAATAAAGATAAGAGCAGAAAAAATGAGATGGAATACAGAAAAACTATAGAAAGAATCAACAGAACAAGAAGCTGGTTCTTTGAAAGGATTAATAAAATTGACAAACCATTGGCAAACCTAACAAAAGAAAAAAGGGAGAAGACACAAATAATTCAC